ACTCAGTGGGTATGGACTAGTATATAAATATTCTTGTCTTTCAGAACAAGTCTCTCCTGATTGAAATAAAAAAGAGCACAAAAGTTTGTATATGTGTGCTTAGAAAGAGAGATAAGTAGTATTTAGATGTCTAGAGTTACTGCTTTAGTGATGATACTAACTGGAGATTTAGTGCACAGTTTTTTACCATCAGCTTCCCCATGCATCGTTAAATGGTCAGTTCACCCATGCAAACAGTTTAACGTCCATGTGTTCTGCTTTTTCAGATATCTGTCTCCAAGATTTCTGTCACCACCTCAAAACTATTGACAAGCTAGTAGCCTCTTCTTTCTTCTTTTTGTGGCTATTACATTTTAAGGTATACCATGCATGATTGTCGTTTTATTGTCTGTAAACACGCTTGCCAGCAAATGTGAAAGTAAAAGCCAGTCCCCTTTGGTGTTTCACCTCGCTTTATTTGCATTTTTAAAGCACTGTGCCTCATTGATGCCTGCTGCTTATTGTTTGGCACCTGCTACCTTTTTGTAAAGCCCAGTCTCACTTAAGTGCTACGGGGGTACATGTCCATAAACGTCCCCATCACAAAATACAAAATAAAAATGAGAAAATACAGGCAGACGGCAGAGTGTCTGCAGATAGGTACACTGCCTCACACTTCTAGTGTGTCATTAGTGATTTAACATAAGACATAAGTGAGATTATACGTTGTTTTTTTAAGGAAAATCCTGCATAGTCTGTCTTTAAACAGAGTCTTTGTAAACAGTTACTGTGAGGCAGACTACTTCCTGTAATCGTAGGTGTATTGATCCCTAGCTGTGCTGTCGTGTCAGGTAACACCATCCCTTGTGCACACTTTGAGTCTGACCTCTTTATATATCAGCCATGATGCACGCATCTGCCCACATGTGACTGCAGCAGCTGGTAAACACTGGAAATATGAGAAGCATGCAGTCTCTTGCAGGTAGACCTTCATCTGTACTTGTTCTCCTTGCAGTACGTCCGGTATGGGTGCAGCACATGAGTGACAGATTTGATTTAACCTCCATTTTTCCTGTGAGTGTTTGCTGAGTATGCTTTTGTTGAGTGCCTGGGGTTCTGATATTCAGAGGCAGAGTTGATTTCTTTTCCCCCCTTTACCTGCACTTTTTTAATCAGGTCTGTTGATATGAATCAGTTGCCTTATGGTCAGGAGGTCATGCCTTTAACCTTTGTGCTGTTGTCCCCCACTATGAGACACAGGGGACTGAGAGTGAACGAGTTGGTTGAGCAGACGCTGGCTGTTCATAGGAATTATAATGTTCCACCCACCAGTGCTGCCAAGAAATAGAAAACACTATTCCCATGTCAGACATCAGCTCAGACAGATGGTTGTGTGAGGATGAGTGTGAAGCTAAATATCCCTGCCAGTGTCTCTCTGCTCCACTGGGGACACTCCATTGACTGTCTGGCAGATTAATTTAATTCCCACATGGGAAACTATGGGCATGAATGTCTTTAGCTACAATAAACACAATAAAATAACCATGGCTTTGTGTCTGCGCGGCTCTCAGAGGTCGATGGTGTGTGTGAGATTTGTCTCAGAGGATAATGTGTGGAGTCTCGCTGACTGTGCTAATGATCTGCTGTGTTCAAGGATAATTAGTTCTGGCTATTCTGGCAGGTTTCAAAGGGATCAGGATACATTTGTTATTGTCTTACAAATAGTTGGGGCGTTTCCCAGTAACTGGGTCAAATCTGTTGTACACTGGCATCGCACTATTTTGAAGGTGTGAGTGAGGCTGCTATAGATACACCTACTGCACTGTGTTCTTGACTTTCCAATATGTAATGTGATATAATGAAATAAATACCACATAATTACATGCCATTGATTGATTATGATACACTGTTTACACCCTTAAAACAATGTGAAAGCTTATATCTTTACACCACTGACTGGTATAGTATAATAATGGCTACAGTATCAGGTAGTGATCAATACACAGATCTCGGTTTCACAGCAGAGATGTTTAATAGACCTCTGCAGACATTCTGACACGTCACAGCAGTATTTTATAACAAAAATAACAAATGATTTCCAGGTATTAACTCATGCTGGCCCACTGACATGGCTTAGAGCCATAATTCGTGTAATTAGTTACACCTGTGAGTCCTGTCATAACAAGTCAAAATGTGCCATATGCTTTGAAAACAACCCTGTCTCACAGAAATGTATATGAAGCTGATAAAAAGTCTGTATTTTTGATCTAGAGGTGAACTGTCCCTTTAGAGAAAGATTGCGCTCTTGGTTAAATAATCAAAAGGCCAGCACTGACTCAAAGACATGACCTGTTATCTTTATTTAAAACCGTGATCTTCCTGTAACCTTGATTAAGTGTCTTACAACATTTGAGTGGTACAGGAACATAGCGCTCTTTTAAATGACAAAATGTTGGCAGTGAACATATTTTCTGGCAGCAATTACGCTGCCTTCAGAACACATTATGCACAACAAATTAGTAGTACATGAATATAATTTCCAGGAGACAGGGTCAGTGAAAAAGCGTCTGTTCTACTCTCAGTTTTCAGGCTTGTGTAATCTGTCTTATCAACATCAGAGCACCACAAACATGTAGATGACCTGAGCTGATGTTGCAGGTGAGACAGTGTCACGTAGAGTCAATGACAAGAAGGTCAGACCTTGACCAGGAACCTGCTCAAGGCAAAGATGTTACAGTGTTTAATATCATAGTGGAAATGTGTTATATTAAACCCAAAACTTTATGTAAAAGCAAAGTAGCTGTAAATGTTTACCAGCTATAAAGCATCTTACAGAATGTGAGATTTAAGCAGACTTATAAATTTAGTGCAAGCTGCAATGTGCAACATGGATCTAATAAATTTGGGTGCGACATCAAGTTTGATGTATGCAGACTGTACGATGACAGTGCCTACTGAATCACAGGCCATGATGTACGATGCAATAGCTTCCCATGCTGAGTGCCCAAGGATGCTGCGCGGTCACATTATTAAATGACCTTAAGTTTTGTGGGAACTTTACACTGTGGTGTGTGTGTGTTTGCTAGCGGCTAGCTGTCTCACCTGGCAGCTGCAACTCCGCCACTATTTCCCTCTATGCTTCATCCTTCTTTATGCGATCATGGTAAGAGCTGGAGGACATACAGGCAAGGCTTCTGCTGCCACAACTTGACAACTTTTTCCTCTTTACTGGAATCACATACATTTCTTTTAGTGCGTTCTGCCTCCATGGTGAGCTGCTATCCGTCTGTTTGTTTGGGTTTAGCGCCAGTGTGTCATTTCATGCTGCATTTTTATTGGTTGGTTAGTAGATGTAGGTCATTACAGCAGTCATACAGCAGTGGCGTAAGGCCGTTATGATGGGCCCCAGTGCACGCTATTATGACGGGCCTGACAGTGTACGCTGTCTTGTACATATCATCTGGTCACATGATCAGAGACTTGACACTGGATAACATTAATATACATATCAGACTGTCTATCACAAAAACTACCAAAGAAAATGACAAATTATTGATTTTATTTAACAGTTTTAATAGTTTATTGTAGTTTATTTGGAATAAATAATGTTCTCATCCCAGACTCTCTGTGGGCCCCCCCACTTCACAGGCCCCAGTGCGACCGCACTGCCTGCACTGTCTATATTTACGCCCCTGTCACACAGTGAGATGTGAGAGGACTGTGACAGCGGCCATCTTTGAACCTCTCTCGCTGTGGGACGTAGGACCACCATTTTAGAGCCACGACCAAAGATATTGCCACGTTTCTTCATCTGGGACAGCCCAAAATCACACAGTGTATACCAGGCTTAAACAGGAATCCCTGAACTGGCAATACTTTATATTAACTACAGCTGTTGAGGCTCATATATTATCACAGTAAATTTTAAACTGTAAATGCAAAAAAACCCTGTTTAATTTATCGTCTGCGGCCTCCAGTTGTGTTTGTTTTCATGAGATAACGCAAGAGACTTAAACACAATTCTCTGCTTTCTTTGCCATCCACTCCCCTGGGAAATAATCTCAGTAAAAAGCAGAAACACTCTCCCACCTCCTGTCAACAATAATGGATGGTGCACTTTTTTCAACAGAGTAATTTTGCCCCCAGAGGTGCTGTTTGACTGACGAGTTACAGATATTGTATTTTGCTCTCATATAATTGGTCGCCAATATGTGTGACATGAGCCAAAATCACTTTTTTGTGTGTGTGTGTGTGGGGATTTGTGCAAACTGATACCAGTGTTGATATTTTCTAAATAAAGCTGCAAGCCACAGAAAGTTGGGTGGACAGTTTTGTGAACAATAACAGAATTATTGTAGCATTTACCTCCTGTTTAACTTGATAAAAATATCACTCTCAAATCAATTTATTTTCAGTACTATCCTATAAACAGCCACTGTAACACTGACAACAAGCAAATATATAAATAGACTAAAATATAGTATATTATATTGGAGGTGAGGAATCATAATCATAACTCCACATACTCTGTAAGTAGATGGACTGGAGCAAGCTGGTGGATGAGTAACAGCTGTGAAATAGTCTCCTTTACGTCCTCACTGCCCTTATAGATGCTGACAGCTGACCCTCATTTCCACCTCAACCATATGGGATCATTTGGACTTCATCCAGTTAATCAATTTAATGTTTATTTCTATCGATCGCTTTGTTTTTTTTGCTTTCTTTCTCTCACCTCTCTCTCTTCCCTCTTTCCTTTCCTCTCCTCATTCCTGCCTCTCGTACTTCATACAAAACCCTGAACTTGCAAGGTCGCATGTGGATTTGACATGTTTGTGTTAAATTCCCCTCTATATCATCTTATAACCTGCTGAGCTGTGCACTAAATCACAAGTTGTGTCAGCCGGGAGCAGCCAGTTAATGGGAGCCAAGGTTGGGGCACTTTGGCCTTGTTTTTACAGTGGTGATGAGGAGTGGAAAACACACCGTGCAAATCAATGTTGTTCTCCTCCTCTCTCTTGCAGTCTCAGCAGAAATGCATTGTGATCTTTGCCTTGGTGTGCTGCTTCGCCGTGCTGGTGGCGTTGATTTTCTCGGCAGTGGACATTTGGGGCGAGGACGAAGACGGGATCACTGAGGAGAACTGTAGCAGGAACTGCAGGTGAGAGCTGCAGATGCACAAACGCACAACATTTTCGTCACAATTTATGGTCTAGTGGGTGTTACTGGTGAGACATAAAATGTGAAGTCTAGTTTGAGTAACAGATCTGTAAATGTGAAGCATTCTCTGATGCCAAAACACTACACAGCAGTTTATATCACTGTGACTCATGATTTTACATCTCAGATCAAATCACAGTGACCTGTCCTATCTTACTATGTAATGAAGAAAACTTTGTCTGTCTGTGTGTCTGTTCCATGTTTTTCTCCTCACTGACTTGGTCTATCCATGTGAAATTTGGCACAGTGGTAGAGGGTCATGGGAGGATGCGAAAGAAGCAATATTACATCAATTGGCCAAAGGGGGGCGCTATAGCAACTGATTGAAATTGCAAACTTTGAATGGGCATATCTCATGCCCCGTATGTCGTAGAGACATGAAACTTTGCACAGAGATGCCTCTCCTCATGAGGAACACATTTGCCTCAAGAACCCATAACTTCCGGTTATATAGATTTTCCGCCATTTTGAATTTTTTGAAAAACACTTCAAACCGATCTCTTCCTGGGAAGTTTGACCGATCTGCATGAAACTCGGTGAACATAATCTAGGGACCAATATCTAAAGTTCCCTCTTGGCAAAAGTTGGAAAACTTACTAAAACTGAGCTTCTATAAGGCAATGAATATTGTGGAGCTCAAGGGTTTCACTGATCACCATGCAACTTTGTAGGCATATGACCACACATAATCTGAGGGGACCCCTCCATTATTGACCCCATCAAACAAAATGGGGGCGCTGGAGAGCTCATTTCTTATCTAGGCCTAACCGCCATATGGATTTTTACTAAACTTGGTAGATATGTAGAACAGGACGCCTCAAGGTGACTGGAGAAATTTAACTCTAATTGGCAACTGGGTGGCGCTATAACAACAGAAAAATGCTTAAAAATGTCTCAAATGCGACCGATTGCTGTGGCTCCCCCTGTGGACCAATGTTGTTGTTTTTTTTCCGAATTTTGGGTATGACGAAGTCATGGTATGGTATGCTGTACTCAATGGGTATGGACTAGTGAGTATTATACTACTCACTATAATCTCAAACACCAGTGTATGGTAGCAGAACATATACAAATGTACAAAAAACACAACTAAACACAGAATAATTTAAAAAAAGAAAAAAAAGAGAAAGTACAAACTATGACAAAGCATATCCAAACGGTTTCTTGGTTGTCCATTGTACCAGCGCATCCAAGATTAACTTTTTTGCTGCCCTACTTCAGTGCAGTTTCACAGCAGCCCTACGAAAGGGCTGCTTACTGCGGTGAATGGCCCTATCTGGAGCCAGTGTATGTAGATATAAATGCATCATTCTAAGCTAAGAAAACCACTTTCAAAGAAAATATATCATATTCCATTTCTGCCAATATATCCCATATTTCCTTGAACCCATTTGTCTTCCCTTTGCCTTGCCCTCTGAGCTTTAAGCCCCTCACTCATTCCATCAGCTTCCATTCCTGGAAGCCCTGATTATATTTTAGCCTTAGTTTCAAACCATAAATCAATCCCAGTCAAACACACGATGCAATCTGGCAGGTCTAACCCACTGGCACAAGATATAAACTGCAGTGTAGAAGCTGCAGGCCCTAAAGCATTGCTTGCATTAATTTAAAGATAGTATTCTGTTTTCTCAAAGTAAAAAATGGTACAAGCCAAGTAGCACCAATATATAACAAATCTGTGTTCCCTCAGTCTTGGTTCTATTGTAGCCACCCCCGCTGCCTTAAAATGATTACCAGGCTTTTCTTAAAGTTACTTTGCACATAGTTTCTTCAGTCTGTTTAAGAGTATGGATCCCCAGACAAAAAGCACAGAAACCACTGCAGTATGGTTTGGTGGTCCAGTGAGAAACTGGCTGATCAGCAGTCATTTTCTCTGATACAGCAGCCCCCTGCTCTCCACTTCCTACTGGTTCCCCTCCATTAGACTCTTATCATCCAATTTACCATTCAGCCTTGAATTACTTCCCTCTTGCTCTCTCTCTTTCTTTATGTGTGTCTGTCTACAGTCTCCCTCCTCTTCCCCAAATCAGCCATTTAACAACCTTTCAGCAAACCCTATCAGGCATCCCTCTCTTCCACTTAAGGCTGAAAGTGTAATCCGAACTTGTAAAGCTGAATTGGACCCCCCTCCTGCTCTGAAGGACACCTAAAGCTTCAGGGTAGAATGAGAGATGAATACGAGGCTGAGGGAGGGATGATGAGTGAACTGGGTGGAGAGAGAAGAAGAAGAAAAGGATATCAGGTGTCTGAATGAGCGAGAGATGAGCTTATTCATCAGCTGTTATCAGCTCGCTGTCTGTGATGACAGAAAGCTTTTCAGTCCAACTCCAAACAAAATTTCAGAAATGTGTGGTGCCATTTTTCCAGCTGTGTGCTGGTATTTATATCCCATAAGCCTAATGACAAAAATTTACTGTGGTGTGCATCATTTGAAAGATCTATAATGTGTGCAAGTGAAACATAATTGATGATTTCATGAAGTATTTTGCTCAAAGCGAGTTAAAGTACAGAACAGGAAAAGTGATTGATTACTGAGACTGACACTCATGTAATGAGGTGCACTGAAGCTTGTTCATGCTCAGTTTAATTTCTAAAGGTGCTTGTAACTCATCAAAGGAAATGCAACTCCTTTTCAGACAGTTTTCAATTATCCAGAGTTTAACTAACAAATGAAATTTACGGCTGTTTCTTCTTCATAACCCAAATACAGCAGACTTCCTCAGTCCTGCTTTTCCTTTCATTGTGAGCCTTTTAGCAGCCCAAATAACGACTCAGCAGCTTTTTGTTGTTTGTAATGTTGTAATTCAGACATGTCACACGCAGCTGGTTGTTTTGTTATGTAGATTTCCCTTTAATCTATTTTTGCCTGCATAATAAACAATGCTAATGCCTGGATTTCAGGGACAGGAGATGTGGAATGGTTTGCTGCTGTTGTGTATCTGCATTAAAAAAAACAACTAGTGCAGATAGATGACAAAGATTGCTTCATTTTTTTCTCTGACAGAACAAACGCATAATCTAATTTATACTTCCCCTCTGAGGATAAAAAAAACTCAGATGATTCGAGTAAAACATGATTCCTCTTACAGCAGCGTGTGTCATTTGGTTGTTGGAGCACAGTGGTATCCTCTTATGTGATTGTATCCAAATGACAATCTGATGTATTCCTGATGTGTAACTGCCCTCTGTCAGACAGATGATAAGTAGGTTAGCATTGATCTACAGTTGCCTTGTGAAAGGGCAGAGACAATGCTTGGAAAACCAGACTTGCCATTTCCCCAAATTTTGTGCTACTGCAGAACTGGCAGGAGCAAATGAAGCTTGGCATCTCTGAGATGCAGGGATCAGTGTGTCTGGAACAACGAGGAATACTATATAGCCTTTAGTGTTGGGAAGGTTACTTTTGAAATGTAATAAGTTACAGATTACTAGTTACCCTGTTAAAAAAAGGTAAAAAGTAAAGTAACTTTCTAAATTACTTTATTAAAGTAATGCCCATGGAGTCTAGATGGTGGTGGTGATAATGGTGGTGATGAGATAAGATGAAGAGGGAGCTGTGGATCTGGATGTGAAGAGAAGTGAGTTTTTGATGAGCTTGTCCCGGGCTCTGGATAAGGTGACTGGGGGTGAACGGGGTGGAGGAGGGTTCGACGTTTCTGCCTAAAATGACAGCTGACAGGAGTAGAGAGGAGAACAGATTTAAAGTTTGGCAGCAGCAACATGAATGGCTGAAGGAGATCGTGGCAAAGTTTGACTGGCTAACCAGGAGAGGGAACACCCATAGTCAGCTGATTGGTGGAAGTGGGATAGAGAGAGAACTGTGAATGGATAGCGTAACAAAAGTCTTCCTGATTGAACTTATGCTGAGCTTCATGTGTTACACTAATGGTTACATTAACTTACCTGTAGGTGTTTCCTCAGGTTTGATTTGGAGCATTTTAATGTTGACAGCATTTCCACTGCTTGTAAAAAGAAAAGCTTCATGGTAGAGCCCTTTTTGACTTTGACACGAAAACACTGTTGAATTTCCAGCACTAAAATGCATTCTTGTACGAAGCAATGGCCACCGTCTTGGCATGGTCACCTGGTTGCAGTTTTGGCAGACTCCGATTGCTTAGAGCAATGCACATTGATTTGACTGGCAGACGAGAGGTGGTGCAAAGTCAAACTAGAACCATTCGAAAATTTGAGTGCGTACTAGGACCAAATGAACTGAGTCTATCTGGACGTAGTGAAAGCTCCTGGTAAGCCATCACACCCTTGATGGTGCTGCACTCAGACTGAATTTCTGGTAAAAAAGATGCAAAGCAACAGATTGAATGTATGAATGTATTATATTCAACATATAAGCTTTTACCAAAAAGGATATATTCACATGTAACCCTGTTGGAATCACCAAGCGGCAACCTCCAGTGATGCCAAAGTTCCAAAACCTGCAGTTCCTCTAATGGCCACTTGAGAAGAGAGGTGAATTTTTATATAACTTGCCTGTTGTGTGAGGGCGGGCCGCTTTGAGTGACAGGCTGTCTGCCGATAGTGTCCTCGGGTTCTCAGTCAGATCCATCCCTCGCTCCTCCACAGCTCAACCCTCTCATCCAAATCACCTCTGGCTCCAAAAAAAGCAAAACAAGATGGCAACAGCCAAAATGCAGAACTCAAGGCTTTAAAACGGGAGTTCACAAACCAAAGGGTGACATCCCGGCAGCTACATCCCTTCTTTTATACAATCTATGGATGTAACTCCTTTGTCATCACAAACATTTTGATTAGTAACTGTACTTAATTACATATTTTTTTTCAGTAACTGTAATTGATCAACACTGTAACATTTATTTAGTAATTCAATTACATCACTCCATCATATGTGACTCCCGAATACTGCCTATAGTGAGCTCTTAGGTGAGGCAAACTGTTGGCCGTGAGTCAAAATGTCAGGGACCA